CGAACGAGCCAGCTGATTTTTTTGGCTAACCTAGGAGCTGACACGGAGCTGGAGACGATTTATGGGAATCATAGCGAATTGCCTGTGCGGGTTCGAGGTGAGATCCAAATGGAGCAGTTAGGTTTTCCGAATTTTCGTAGGAGACTCTTGAGTTGAGGGTTGTACCTAGGCTAACCTGGGAGGTTGGCTAATTCAGGAATTCTTTAGAAATAAGTAACACATACATTTATTGCTTGTGATATTTTTGCCAATTTGGATTGTTAGCAGGGAGTTTCATTCATTTATAAGGGGAAACTCTGTCAAAATTTTCTTAAAATAAATAAAATATTTGTTTAAAAAAAATTATTCTGGTTTGCAAGAAGTCTTTTTTAAGTACAATGTTGTACCGGAGTCAGCAAGCTCCTAGTAGTTGCTTCCAAGTGCAATGCTGACGATTACAAAGCACGTTTCATCTCCATTTTTGATTACCAACTTCAAAGACAAAGAAATACTTTTGTAGCATTTGACATTTTGACTTGTATACTTTTGTTTTTCTTTTTGCTCTTCTCCTTTTCTTAGCTCTGTCTTCCTTGTCGTGCTCCCGCTTCTATGCTTTTCAGGTTTGTTTCTATTTTGTTTGTTCTCTTTCCTTTTGTTTCAGTGTGTTTTTTACTATAAATATTTTAAACAACTTTTATTTATTAGTGTATATTCTATATTACTGTCTCCTTTCTATAACATTAGTACTTGTTAAATGTCAAAATGATTACATTTCTTTAGTTTTTCTATTTATAATTTGGCATAAGTTTTTCCTAGCCCTGCAGTTGATCTTTCTTCCGGTGTTTGTTCGTGTAAACTTTGATCATGCATATCTTACTTGTATGTTTTAAATTTAGTTGTTTTATTTGTTTGTTCCTATTTTTCTTTGTCCTCAAATTTTCAAGAACTATGCTTACTGAATTTTTTGAGATGAATAAATTGAATAAAGAGGCCCAAAATTTGAATTATCTATATAGAGAATTTTCTTGAGCATTTTGTATGGACTTCATCTGCTAAGCTCGGGACAGAAAGAAAAAGGTTAAAAGTGATTGGAAGACTTGTTATAGTTTCTCCAAGTGAAGGCAAAAGGTATTATTTAAGGCTTTTACTTGCACTTGTAAAAGGTCCTACTTCTTTCGATGATCTATTGACAATCAATGGTAGAAAATTTTCATCATATAGAGAAGCTGCACTAGAATTGGGTCTATTTGAATCTGATACATACATAGAGGATACGTTAGAAGAAGCAACTGCATTTCAAATGCCTTCGTCTTTACATTTCCTACTTGCAGTAATGCTTGTCTATTGTTTGCCGTCAAATCCTAAAAATCTTTGGAAAAAATTTCAGTTGGAGTTCTCAAGAGATTATCAAAACGCAGAAAGATATAATGAATATGATTCCCTAGAGATTGTACATAAAGTTTTGGATGATATTAACAGGGCATTACAGCAAATGGGTAAAAATTTGAATGACTATTGGTTGATGCCTGAAGATTCAGCTTTGACTATAATAAGCATTCAACCAAAGAATATACAGCCAACGTCAGAAGAACTCTTAATGCCTTCAATGCTAAATGATCAGTAGAGGCTAGCATATGATTCTATACTGAAAAAGGCACTTTGTAATCAAGGTGAATGCTTATTTGTCGATGGTCCAGGTGGCACAGGAAAGTTTTTTGGTATAGTGTCTTACTTGCAATACTTAGATCACATGGCTATATAGCTATTGCACTTGCAACCTCTAGAGTTGCAGCTTCTATCCTTCTAGGTGGTAGAACAGCTTACTCAAGAATTAAAATTCCATTACATTTGTCCCACAATAAAACATGCCAACTGAGTAAACAAAGTAGAATTGCAAAGCTTGTTATTGAGGCTCGACTAATTCTTTAGGATGAGGCTTCAATGGCTAAAAAGGAGACCATTGAAGCATATGACAACTTGCTACAAGATCTTATGGATTGTAATTAGGCATTTGGTGGAAAGAACGTAGTCTTTGGAGGTGATTTTAGACAAACACTTCCTATAATGGAAAATCAGCCTTTGGATGCTTAGGTACATTCTAGTATAGTGCACTCTAATCTTTGGAACAAAATGGTGAAAATGAAGCTGGTGCACAATATGCAAGCCATTCTGGATCCAACATATTCAGAATTTTTATTGCGCATAGGAGAAGGCATTGAACCAGTAGATCATAACAGACAAATCTCCCTGCCATGTCACATGGTTATTCCCTATGAAAACAAAGAAGATTCTATCAATAGGTCATAACATAATATTTTGCATTTTAAATACTAAAATATTAAACTGTATGAATTAATTATGCTATGATTATATCTTTCCAACTTAACTACTATCATTCTAATTGTAATTATTTAAAAACAATTATGCTATGTGTTTTATGTGTTTACTTGCTTTTATTATATTTTATATGATTTGTTTAGTTATAATAAATATATGACGTCACCACACTAGTCTAATGCTAGTTGTGGTCCTTTTTCTTGATTTCTCACTAGTCCAATACTAGTGAGAATTGATAGACATGGGTTAGTCCAACGCTAGACCCTTAGGAACCATCCACGCGCTAGATCATGCTTGTGTGATAAATCAGTACATTTCATGCATATTTTCTACTTTTAGGATTCTTACCATTTTACATGATATTTTCTCTATATGTATATCCATTATCCTTATGTGTAAGACATGACATTAGACTTGCATTTCATTTAAAAAAAGTTAGAAACAGGTTAGTACATTTGCTTGATTAGGTTAGGGAGTACCCCTCGAATATGGGATATAAACGAGTATGGCTTTCTAGTCTTAGCATGCTAGTATTCCCTCTATAAAAGGCGACGGAGGTTGCAAAAATTCAGGCGTTACTCACTACCCATCATGGAGAGCTGGCAGTGGTCTTTAAGGCGGATGATATCGTTGCGACGGCGATTCCTTTTCGCTATACTCTGGTTGGGAAATTCTCCAGAGGTCGTCCCTTGCTGCCTAATCTGTGCAAATTTTTCTCTACTCTTGACTTGAGGGATACGGTCTCTGTTGGATTATTGGATGCCAGGCATGTGCTGCTGAGATTCCATGGTGAAGCAGATTTTCTTCGGGTCTGGTCTAGAAGCCTGTGGTATGTGTATGGGCGCCCCATGAGGGTGTTCAAATGGACATCTAAATTCCATGTGGATAGAGAATTATCTCTTGTGCCTGTATGGTTTCGGTTGCCCAAGTTGCCGATTCACTTATTTGCCAAACCTTGTCTGTTTCATATCGTTTCATGCTTGTGTACTCTTCTGTTTGTGGACACGGCAACATCTTCCTTTTCTCGTCCAAACATAGCGCGGGTTTGTGTTGAAGTAGATTTGTTAAAGACACTTCCGTCGAGGGTCTAGGTTGATATGAGAGATGGGGATGGTTTTTGGCAGGCTTTGATTCCTGAGAGTCTCCCCAAGTATTGCAACCACTGCTACCGTCAAGGCCATGACGACGATTGCTGCCATGTCAAACATCCTAACTTGCGCGTGACTAAGATTCCGCCTCGGCAAGAGGTTGAGATAGCTGCGGAGCTGGATTCTAAAGGGCGTGGGGAATTGGCTGGGACGTCTGCTGGTCTGGCATGTGTGGCACATTCCGCGGGGGAGGGGCAACCAGAACTGCAGGTGCCTGTAGTCGTGGTGCAGCACCCCATTCACCAAAGCAGTCTGAATGGGATGCGGTTACGATCGTGGAGGCTGGGATTGATGCCGCTGCTGATGCAATCATCCACAGGTTGGCAGACCAGGTGATTCAAGAGCCCGTGGAGATGCGTATGGAGGAGGGGCAGGCTGGAGGAGCGGATGTGTTCGGCGGGCTTGAGGCAGGAGGGACGGCTGCGGCTGCCAACCCATCCACGGTAAAGGAGATATGTGCTGGGGAGGGGGCGGACTAGCTTGGGATAGGTCAAGAGGTGTTGGGGGGGAGTCATGGGTGTGACGTAGAGATGGAAGGAAGGTTGGAGATTATCTTACCACAGGCTTCTGCTGAAGATGTGCGAGGGGGTAGTGGTCTGTTCAGGTTACAGGGTGAGGCCTGCGGTGTGGATAGTAGTGAACCAGGGGATGCTGTGGGTGAAGCACGGGCTGATGCGCAGGTAGGAGACCAGGGGGTGGATTCTAGCAGTGACGAGGAGATTCAAACTTCAGTGGGCAGCCCTAGAAACCTGCTGCGCGGGTAGGAAGGAAAGTTCGTGTCCGCGGTTGGAGTTCTTGATAGCTCGGTGGTAGTTCAATGGACCAAACAAAAAAGTATTCGTGCACAGTTTCCATCTGACAGACAGTTGCGTTCTAGATTGCTAAATTCGCAGAATTCCTTTCATGTTTTATTAAATGATTAAGGGACTATTTTGGAATGTTCGAGGCATCTCTAAGGCTCCAAAATTGAGAAGGATTAGAAAGTTGATTCAAATGCACAATCTTCAATTCTTGGCTATCTGTGAGCTTTGGTTGGAGGTTGACAAAGCTGAATGGTATAGATATAAATTAAATTTTCATGGCTTGGTGCATAATTCGATGGGTTCGGTATGGATTTTCTTCAAAGAACCTTTTTCGGGTTTGGTTATTGGAGAGAGCCCCTAGCATGTGTCTGTGCGACTATCCCACGTTCATATGCCAGGGTCTCACCTGGTTATATCTTTTGTGCATGCGCGGTGTACTCCTGAGGAGAGATGCGACCTCTGGGGTGGTTTATTGCGGGATAACCCAGGCTCTGATGCTTGGCTCGTTGGTGGTGATTTGAATGTAATTCTAGATGCTGAGGAGAAGAAAGAGGGTTGGGCCTTTAACCCTGTTGAAGCTACGAAGTTCAGGCAATTTATTAATGATGCGAATCTCATAGATATAGATTTTTCTGGTGCTCGCTTTACTTGGTGTAATAATAGACATGGCAGGGCAAGAATTTGGAAGTGATTGGATCGGGTTTTGGTGAATGAGGGATGTTTGGACTTGGGGATGTCTTTGACGGTGTCTCATCTAATCCGGGACTCTTCAGATCATGCTCCGCTCCTCATTTCTGTCTCAACCAGGCTGGATAATAAGCCGCAGTCATTCAGGTTTCTTAACTTTTGGACGAGCCGTGAGGATTTCTTGCCCATTGTTCGGGACTCTTGGAAGCAGCCATGTTCTGGTTCTCCTCTACAAGTTCTGTGTTGCAAATTAAAACGGCTTCAGGGGGCTGTCCAGGTTTGGAATAGGGTGGTTTTCGGGGATATATTTCAGGCAGTTAGGCAGAAGGAAGAGGAGGTGAGGCTTGCGGAGATCCGGATGGAAAGTGATGGGTCGGAAGCGGCTAGGGTTCAATTACATCTTGCTCAAGGTCGTTTGCGTGCTGCCTTGAGAGTGGAGGAGGTTTTTTGGAAGCAAAAGGCCCGGGTTAGGTGGCTTCAGGAGGGAGACCGCAATACAAAGTTTTTTCATTCCGTGGTCAAACACAGAACGGTACGGTCGATCGTTCACAAGATTAGAAATGACCGAGGGGAATGGATTGAGTCGGAGGCGGAGATAGGAGCTGAGGCAGTAAGGTACTTTGAGAGGTTGTTTACAGCTCAGCATATAGCATCTTCTTCTACTTTGCTTCAGCATATCCCAAAAATTTTGACAGATGAGGAGAATGGTTTGCTGGAGCAGGTTCTCTCTGCGGAGGAGATTCGTAGTGCGGTCTTTGCGATGGATGGCGAGAGTGCGCCGGGGCCAGATGGTTATACGGGTAAATTTTTTACGGCCGCCTGGTCAGTTATCGGTGAGGATGTGGTCCGAGCAATGTGTAGCTTCTTTTGCGGGGCTGAGCTACCACGTGCAATTACAGCAACCTCCATTGTGCTCATTCCTAAGATTGTGCACCCTCAAAACTTTTCACATTTCTGTTTGATTAGCCTGTGCAACTTTGTTAACAAGGTACTTTCGCAAATTTTGGCAGATCGTTTGGCCCAAGTCCTTCCTAAGATCATTTCCCCACAGCAGAGTGGCTTTGTTCGGAGGCGGCTCATATCGGATAACTTCCTGCTTGCACAGGAATTACTCTCTAGTATGGGTAGGTCTCCCAGAAATGCCGATGTTGTCCTAAAATTAGATATGTCGAAGGCCTACGATCGTGTTTCCTGGGCGTTTTTGACTATGGTATTGTAAAGATTTGGATTTGGCGAGCAATGGATTGACAGGATTTGGAGATTGATGTCGAATGTCTGGTTCTCAGTTTTGGTTAACAGAGCGAGTGTGGGTTTCTTTAAATCCACACGGGGGATTTGTCAAGGGGACTCGCTATCCCCTGGATTATTTGTTATTGGTGCGGAGGTGCTGTCTCGCTCTTTGGACATTTTATTGGAGCATCGGGGGTTCAAGTGCTTTTCGATTCCGCGAGGATGCCCTAAGATCACTTATCTTAGCTATGCAGCTGACGTTCTGGTTTTTTCTAGTGCTTGTTCTTCCTCGCTAAGATGTGTCATGCAGACACTTGGGAGATATGAAGCAATATCGGGTCAGGAGATTAATGTCCAAAAGTGTGGCTTCTTGGTTCATGGTAAGTTGCCTAGTCAATGTGTGGCAAGGGTTCGGCGGGTAACGGGGTTTGGTCTTAAATCTTTTTCCGTGCGTTATTTGGGCTGCCCGCTTTTCGTGGGGCGACGGAAGAGTCAGTATTTCATGGAGTTGGTGCAATCAATCTTTAATAGAATTTCATCCTGGCGATCTAGATTTCTCTCCAATGGGGGTCATCTCATACTCATTAAGCATGTTCTTTAGACAGTGCCAATTCACTTGCTTGCGACTTCATGCCCCCCGAAGGGAGTCCTTGCTCTGGCCGAACGGGCCATGGCAAACTTCCTTTAGAGGGAGAGGGAGGGTGGTCTCCGGCATCATTGGATCAAGTGGGAAGATTTGTGTGCCGATTCGTCTCAGGGGGGGTAGGTGTTCATTCGTTACTGGAAGTCTAGGCAGCATTCTCGCTCAAATTATGATGGCGGTTCTGTACAAGTGATTGTTTATGGTCGACATTTATGCGGGTAAAGTACTGTCGGCAGAGTCATCCATGTATGGTAGGGCCGATGCAGGGCAGTTCATATGTGTGGCGTCGCATGCTTCAAATACGTGAGGTGGCGGAGCAGAACCTTTGGTGGTTGGTTCAGTCTGGTCAATGTAACTTTTGGTTTGACAATTGGCTGGACTCCGGTCCTTTGTGTCAGCGCCTACAAAGTGTCTCGGATCATTTAGTAGCTGATTTTGTGGTGAATGGGCGGTGGAATCTACAGTTGTTGCGGCGCTGGGTCCTGGATGACATAGTGTCAGAGATCGTTACCAAATCGGCCTCAATGGGATCCACGTACGATAGTGCGGTGTGGGCGTTGACGGAGTCAGGGGATTTTTCGATTGCTTCCTCCTACATGCTACTCAGTAGGCAGGCTCCTTCTTCATTCATGTTTGACAAGGGTTGGCATCCTTTGATACCAATAAAAATATCTTTTTTCATGGTGCGATTACTGAGGGATTGGCTGCCTCTAACGTCTTCGCTAGGGAGATTGCATGTGCATGGCCCATCTAAGTGTTTTTGCTGCTCGGCCTCGCATTCTGAATCTTTGGAGCATATCTTTACGGAAGGAGAATTAGCTCAGTTCTTGTGGACTTTTTTTGGGAACGGCGTGGGCGTGCTTTACCGAGGGATAGGGGTGCGTTCACGACTGGCTGGTTGGTGGTGTCCACCAAGACCGAATTCGCGGCTGGAATCAATACACATAGTGTTGCCGAATATAATCTGCTAGCACATTTGGTTAGCACGAAATCTTGCACTTTTTGAAAGGCAGTGCCTGTGTAAGCAGACCATTGGGGATCGTATCCTAGCAGATGTTGTGAGGCTGTTTGGCGGGAAGTACGTAGGGGAGGTTAGTGGACTTGGCTCCTGGTCGACATTTTACTCTAATGTCTCTGGTTGGAGACCTCATTATTCACATATATTGGTTCGTTGGGAGGTTCCAGTCTAGGGGAACTTCAAGCTAAATACGGATGGTTGCTCGTTTGGCAGCCCGGGCATTAGTGGCGGGGGTGGTGTGCTCAAGGATTCATCTGGTGCAGTGTTGTTTGGGTTTTCTATTCCGCTTGGGGAGCTGACATGTATCCAGGCGGAGATCAAGACTTTGTTGTTTAGGGTGCAGCAATGCCTCCTTCGGGGATTCTCACGGATTCAAGTGGAGTTGGACTCTCTTGTGCTAGTCAACATACTGCTAAATAAGTCGAGGTGTCCGTGGTTAATTCGATTGGGAGCTAGATGCGTTACTGGCACTCCAAGGGTTGGAATGGACAGTGGAGCATTGTTATCGTGAGGCAAATCAGGTGGCGGATGCTCTAGCCAAGGTGGGGGTGCGGTCAGAGGATATTTTCTTGTATACATCACAGTCAGATTTACCAAGTTTGGCAAGGGGGGCCTTGGGTTTAGATAGGTCAAGGACTACTGTTATTCGAGTTAGATTTGCTCGTAATTAAGGCTTTGTACTGTTCCTTTATGGTCTCTAATAATACAAGAGGGTGGCGTCCCTTCTCGCATGAGGGGTTAGTCTGAAAAAAAAAAGAGTCACGAATCTTAGCCCTCGTATCCGTTATATTGCATCCTTCTCTTTTAGGTCACGTATATTTGTATATTATAATTTTTCTATTTTTTTAAGTTTCATTGTTACATATTCGTGATCTCTTCAAAGAATCACTTTTGGGTATCGTAATTAATGCGATTTGCACCAATTAAAATTCGAAGAGACATATTGATCCTTCCAATAGTCATTAGGTCTAAGTTTGCATTCATATAGTAACATCCAACTGTGATAAGTTTTATAAGTTAAACTAAGAAAATTTTCCAAGTAAATCACGTAACTAACTCTAACTAGGTTGAAAGGGTGTTTTGGATTTTATCCTTGCCTTCTCTTTCTTCAAACGTGACTCCCGAACACTTTTCTCTCATTTTCAAAGACTTGAAGTCATTTAAAAAGGGGTTTTCTCTACTTTTTATTTAAAATTCATTTTAGTTGACTTGGTACACCTTAACTCAATAGCAAGTAGCGACTCCTTTTTTTTTTATTAAAAATCCTTTTTAAACTATTATTTTGGGCCAAAATCATCGCACTTTTTGAGTCCCACCTTGGGTTTAGATAGGTCAAGGACTACTGTTATTCGAGTTAGATTTGCTCGTAATTAAGGCTTTGTACTGTTCCTTTATGGTCTCTAATAATACAAGAGGGTGGCGTCCCTTCTCGCATGAGGGGTTAGTCTGAAAAAAAAAAGAGTCACGAATCTTAGCCCTCGTATCCGTTATATTGCATCCTTCTCTTTTAGGTCACGTATATTTGTATATTATAATTTTTCTATTTTTTTAAGTTTCATTGTTACATATTCGTGATCTCTTCAAAGAATCACTTTTGGGTATCGTAATTAATGCGATTTGCACCAATTAAAATTCGAAGAGACATATTGATCCTTCCAATAGTCATTAGGTCTAAGTTTGCATTCATATAGTAACATCCAACTGTGATAAGTTTTATAAGTTAAACTAAGAAAATTTTCCAAGTAAATCACGTAACTAACTCTAACTAGGTTGAAAGGGTGTTTTGGATTTTATCCTTGCCTTCTCTTTCTTCAAACGTGACTCCCGAACACTTTTCTCTCATTTTCAAAGACTTGAAGTCATTTAAAAAGGGGTTTTCTCTACTTTTTATTTAAAATTCATTTTAGTTGACTTGGTACACCTTAACTCAATAGCAAGTAGCGACTCCTTTTTTTTTTATTAAAAATCCTTTTTAAACTATTATTTTGGGCCAAAATCATCGCACTTTTTGAGTCCCATTTTAGGCCCTTATTCTCTAACAAATCAAAAACTCATTTGTCAATCAAAATTAATCAAAATTCATTTTATAAACCCGTAATTATTTATTTTTCAAAAAAATGGAGTGCGACAAAATTCAGCTCATAGGCTAGTCAAATTTTAGTTCAAACTCACTGCTGTCTCATGTGCAAAAACAAAACAGTCATGATTTTTAAGAAACTTTGCAGATTTTCTGGTATTTATAGGAGTTGAACCAGACCCTGATTTTTATATCGTTGAAAATCCTATGAGTCTATTTTCAAATGCAACAAATGGAACTCAATTCCAACTTTTCTATACAAAGTTATAGTCAATTTCCCAAACCTATGCAGGGCTTCCTACGAAAATTTTCTAGCAAACTATTAGTTTAGAAAACTAGATTTTTCCCTTCTCAAACTTCTTTGTTTTGGCTCAAAAATAACACACATGCAAAGAAATAGCTTGTAACAAGTGTTTTAAGTAAAATCATATGGAAGAGGAAGACAAAATGTGTGACGCCTCGAAAAGTATGAGTGTGAGAACCCGGAAATTTTCTAATTTTCTAGGGTTTATTTTATTTAATCGCCCGCCTTTTTTGCATTTTCTTTATTAGAAAAATTTCCCAGATAAAGTTTATGAGCAAAGATGGTTTTAAAATGATTTTTCTAGTATCGGTTAGGTTTTGAAAAATTAAGAGCGTAGATCAGACGTGGGACCCACTAGTGCGAAAAGTTCGGAAAAATTTGGCCAACTAGGTTAAGTTTCGGATACTGGGTTTAATTTACCGGGTGTTAAGAGATAATTAGAGGAAGCTATTTGGATTGATGTGAGAGGGAACAAAGTGATAGACTTGCATTAAATAAGTGACAAGTGTCACCATTTGATTGGAGGAACTTGTAAGACCACTATTCATTTTCTTACCATTGACCAAATAAATCAAAAATTCACCAAAAATTCCTCATTTTTGTCTTCCTCTTGGCTGAACCTCTTCCTACAAGAAAAGAGAGAAAAGCTTCCAAGTTTCTTGCTCCAATCTTTCCCAATCTCACAAACTAACCGTTTAATCTTGAATTCCTTCCATAAAACCTCTTCAAGTAGTGTTTGTGAGTTGTTGTGTGAAGTTATTTGGAAAGTTAAGGTGACCAATAGCTCTCTCTCTCTTGTTTTAAAGGTGAGTTGTGAAGGACCCCTCTCCTTCCTCTAATGATGTTAAATTCATGCTTGGTGATAGTATGAGATGCAAGTTTATGGATTAAAACTTGATTTTGGTTGAATTGGTGAAGTTTTATAATTTTTGGGGATTTTTCTGTTT